CTAAATGTATTGTAGATATAACTTATCTCTATCTCTCTATCTCTATCTTCTTCTATATTTATTTAGGTTTGTGTTCAGCCTATAAATATAGGTTCTCCTATTGTATTCAATTCATTCAATATAATACAGATACATATTTTTCATATTTCTTTCAACCATTCTAACATTAGAAAAATAGTCTATCGGACTTTTTTTGTTTTTTTATTTTTTTACATGCTTGGCATTTTTTTTTTTTTGAACATTAATGTTTAATTTTTTGTATTTTTTATTAAGTAAAAATTATTGTTTTATTTATTTATTTATTTATTTTTGAAATTTTTATTTTTTTATTTTTTACATGTTGGGTATTTTTTTTTTTTGAACATTAATGTTTAATGTTTTTGTATTTTTTTATATTCATTTTATATAAAAATAATTTAGCAATCCCTACACCAACAACTATCATCAAAATAAACACAATTTTATTTAATTCCCTTACCATCAATCCCCTCACTATTAATTCCTTCCATTCTACCTCTAAAAATAAATAAGAACTTAATTATAACTAATGAATAAGGAACAATTTAGTAAATTTTTTCCATTTCATTACTATTGACAACTACCTCCCACCTTAATCATCGTCCATCACCAACCCTCATCTTCTGCAACCCATATTGCTCCGTTACTTTTTTCTACCCATCAGTACTCCTCTCCTTTCCCAACTCACTGTTACCCATTTTATTTTTTCCTTAGTCCATAGCTACTACGGTTAGGCTTGGTTTGGCAAGAAGGTTTGGGTGGGTTATGGGCTAAAATAGTCACAAAAAACAAAATATCAAATTCAGCCTATAATCATTACAATCCTCTCTCACAAAAAAAAATCAAAAAAGTCAAAAGGCCAAAAAACCCTTCTCAAACCAGGCTAAAGTAGCTCAAGCTAAAATAGCTAAAAAACCAAAAAGTCAAAAAGCCAACCCACTTCCCGAACGGAGGCTTAGCTAGCAACACCAACAAAAAGTGATTAAGTTATTTAACTTGTCCATCTTCGTTAATTATAACTAACGAATGGTTATTATTGATACCATTTTAAACGTTGACAATTTAAATGAAAATAATTAAAAAGTTAAAATTTAATTTATTATTAGAGTCAAATACTAGATTTTTTTTGAAAAATTACAACAAAAAAATCCTAAATGGAAATAATTAAAAAGTTAAAATTTAATTTATTATCAGAGTCGAATGCTAGATTTTTTTTTTTGAAAAATTACAATAAAAAAATCCTAAGGTTTAACCCTTTGTAACAAAATAAATACTACATTTTTAATTTTATTAATTTAAATCTAAATCTTTTGATATTTTAATTTAAACTATTTCTCTATTTTTTAAAAAATAAAATTGATGTAAAAAATGATATTTTAATCATTAAACTCAACGAAAAAGATATTTTAGACATTTTATGTAGATAAAAAGGGAAATTTAGCCATAAACCAAACAGAGCTTCCTTTTCTTGTTAAAAGGACCAAAAACAAAAAAAAAAAAAATTAATACTTTCAAAATTCCCTCATAATTAAAAAGTCCTATATAAAAGACAAAATTTTTCATATGAATATTTTATTTGACCATTATACCATCTCTTTCTTCTTTTTCTTTAACAACACACACACACACACTCTCTCTCTCTCTCTCTTCACTAATTTGACGTTGTTCATTGTTTTTACCATCTTCATCATTTATCACTGTCGCTCATCCTCACCGTTGACCGACAACCATCATTTTTACCGTCAAACCACTACTATCTCAGATTTGATACCTACGAACTCATGTTTGAGATCAATAACTTCAGATCTGAGATAAAAATAAAAAATAAAAATAAAAAACTTAGATTTGATAGAAAAATGAGAAATCGAGGTATTACAATGAAAAATCAAGAGTTTTTTTTTTTTGGTTTCTTTATTCATAGATTTAAAAGTAAAATTTGACTTTGATTTATTTATTTAGTATGTACTTTGTTTTTGTAATAGTAAAATTTTATTCTGGTTAACAACATACTGTAAAATTTTACTCTTTTTTTTATTATTACAGAGTAAAATTTTTCTTTGAATCAAAGTAAAATTTATTACGATTCATAGTAAAATTTTACTGAAACAAGCTACGAGGATGGCTTTATAAAAGAGTGTTATGTTATGAACTTTTACTGTTGGAAGAACAGAGCATCATGAGAAGAAGAAAGAGAGATAGAGAGATAGAATTCGAAAACAGAGGATCAAGAGAAGAAACAGAAGAAGAAGAAGAAAAGAGAGAGAGAGAGAGCATAAATGGTGAGTGGCACACACATAGAGAAAGAAAGCACGAACCACCAGAACCAGAGAGAGAGAAAGAGATAGAGCGTGAAGGATCTCAGATCTGAGGTTTGCGAATCGTCGCAAATTGTCATTTTTCGGCGATGATAACTGTGAATGATCTCAAATCTGAAGTTGTGGATGTAACAAGTAACAGTGGCGATGAAGACGATAGAGAAAGAGTTCCATGGTAAACGGCAATGGCACCCGGTTGAGAGCACCAATGACGTTGATGAAGAGCAACAGTGATAAGAGCGAGATAGAGAGATTGAGATGAGAGTGAGTGATTGCAATCTAATACACACACAGATATATATACATATATATATATACATATATGAAGGTATTATAGTAAAAGAAATAGGGAGACTTATTTATAAGTCCTATTTCGGGCACTTGTGTTATGTTAAGTCATGTATAATTTCTTATAGAATCTCAAGTTCTATTTAGATAAGAATGTATTCCACAAGATCTTATTTGCGAAACGTAACGTGACACGTTACGTTACGTTTATGTAGGTGTCACGTTACGTTATGTTTATGTAAGTGTCACGTCACGTCACGTTACGTTACATTACGTTACATTTATGTAGGTGTCACGTTATTCAATTTCCTATATAGGAAATTGAATGTTATCATAAATCACATCTATGTAAATGTGAATTTCAAAATACACGAACAAGTAACATTTTCACATTCAAACGTTTCGAAAACTTAATCTATGGTAATACATAGATCATATCTATGTGAATATGAATTTCAAAATACACGAACAAGTAACATTTTCACATTCAATTTAAAAAATCAAAACCTAGTAAGTTTGCGAAACGTAACATGACACGTTACGTTATGTTTCGTTTATGTAGGCGTCACGTTATGGTGTCACATTAGGTATATGTAATGTCCCATCTGATATGGTCACGTTACGTTACGTTTATGTAGGGGTCACGTTACGTTTCGCAAACTTAATCTATGATAATATTCAATTTCTTATATATGGTTTTACCATTATTTATGATATTAACAACTAATATTGAGGATAAATGTGTCAACAAACTTCACACAAGACTTATGGGAACATAAAATTTTTAATAAGTCCATATGTAGCATAAGTTTCCCTAATAGGACTTATAAATAATTTTTCCAAAGAATTAAGTTTTAAAACACTGAGGGGTCTATTACCAAATCCCTCATTTATGTATACCTACATTGAATTTAATAACTAAGGTATTATTTTTTCGTCGATTTCACTTAACAAAAATAGACAGATGGTATTGAAAATAAATCAAAAGATTAAAATTAAAATTAAAATTAATAAAATTAAAAACTTATATAATTTATTTTATCATAAGAGTCAAACTCTTAAATTTTTTTCATAATTATAATTTTAATTTTTTTAAAGGTTTAAGACAAGAAATTTAAAAAAAAAAATTTAAGATTAGGATCATTGCCGTGTACTGTTCTTTCTGCTGCGGTTAGCTCTCGTGCGGCTTTCATGGAAGTTTGCCCACCCCTAAAAAGAGATATCGAGAGGGACCAAGGGATCACAGCAGCGTAATGTGGTGTCCCAGTGGGTGTTTTTCCCGAGTCTTTTTTTATTATCCAAACTATTCATATTATAAAGTTTATTGAGTAGATCATCCATATAAAAACTTAAATTGATTGAATATTTATATTCTAATAACAAAAGTATATTTATTTTATAAAAAAAAATACATAATTTTAATAAATTTTAAGGAAAAATTATTTGTAAGTCCTAATAGGAAAACTTATGTTACATATGGTCCTACGAAAAAATTTATGTTCGTACAAGTTCTGTGTAAAGTTTATTGACACATTTATCCTCAATATTAGTTATTAATATCATAAATAATGATAAAATCATATATATAGGAAATTAAATGTTACCATAGATTAAGTTTGCGAAACGTAACGTGACACCTACATAAACGTAACGTAACGTGACCATATCAGGTGGGACATTACATAAACGTAACGTAACGTGTCACGTTCCGTTTTGCAAACTTATTAGGGTTTTGATTTTTTAAATTGAATGTGAAAATGTTACTTGTTCGTGTATTTTGAAATTCACATTCACATAGATATGATCTATGGTAACATTCAATTTTCTATATAGGAAATTGAATGTTACCATAGATTAAGTTTGCGAAACGTAACATGACACCTACATAAATGTAACGTAACGTGACCATATCATATGAGACATTACATAAACGAAACGTAACGTGACGTGACACCTTCATAAACGTAACGTAACGTGTCACGTTACGTTTCGCAAATAGGATCTTGTGAAATACATTCATATCGAAATAAGACTTGAGACTCTATAAGAAATTACACAGGACATAACATAATATAAGTATCCGAAATAGGACTTATAAATAAAACTCTCAAATTTTAAATTGATGTGTTTTGAAAAATAGCTTAAAAGTTAATTTTTTTTAATTTTTATAAAAAAATATTTAAAAAAATAAAAAAATAATATAACCTACAAAAATTAAAAAAACAACTTTTGATCCAAATATCAGAATAGACCTTAATCATAAACTTACGAATATTTAATTAACTCGACTATTTTACATATAGATAAAATGTTACAAAACGATTTAAATTATTAAACCAAGTCGGATATAAAACCTTCATCACAGGTCAGCATCTCCAAGCCCATCCGACCAACCCCATAGCTGCCCCAAAAACCACTATGTGGTTGGTGAAAACCACTCTCTCTCTCTCTTAAAAAAACCACTCCTAAACCCACCACCCACCCACTACCAAATCCTTAAAAAAAAACTTTAAAACCCCATCATCCCATCACCCCTCTCCTCCGCTCTACCCTCCCGGATCCCCAAATCACCACCTAACCATGTCGACCGAACTGCCGCCGCAGACGGAGGCGCCACCGCCCAACTTCTGGGGAGACATGCCGGAAGAAGAATACTACACATCCCAAGGCGTCACCAACACCAAATCCTATTTCGAAACCCCCAACGGCAAAATCTTCAACCAATCGTTCCTACCCTTGGATCGACCCGTAAAAGGCACCGTATTCATGACCCACGGGTACGGATCTGATACGGGTTGGCTCTTCCAGAAGATCTGCATCAATTACGCCACGTGGGGCTACGCTGTCTTCGCCGCCGACCTCCTCGGACACGGCCGATCCGACGGAATCCGATGCTACCTCGGCGATCTCGAAAAGATCGCCGCCACGTCGCTGTCGTTTTTTGTGAGTGTTCGACGCAGCGAAGAGTATAAGGATCTGCCCGCGTTCTTGTTCGGCGAATCTATGGGCGGCGCCGCCACCATGTTGATGTACTTCCAATCGGAGCCTGACACGTGGACTGGCTTGATTTTTTCTGCTCCACTGTTCGTCATTCCCGAGAACATGAAACCATCCAAGGTACCATCCATGTTTTTTATTCTTGTTTTTCTAATTTGGGATGGGTCAAAATGGTAATCAAAACATTTTTGGGGCAAATTACAAAAATAGAATAAAAAAACTGATAAATAGGATTATCTTTAAAAACAAAAATAAAAAGTCAACAAACCAAAATGATGTTGTAGTCACAATGATGAAATTATAAATCATAAATAAAATGCGTATAAAAGAGCATGAAAATTTTATATATAGTATAATTTTTTATTTATATATCATTATGGTAAAATTAATATGGTTGAAATAATCTTATTGGTTTCTTGCTAAGCCTATTAGAATTTGGTCTTTTTGGCAACAAATTTATAAGCCAATTTACGTCTTTTTGGGAAATTAGTTAAAAATTATCTTCTACCTTTTTTAACATATTTTGAGTTATATTATCTGTTTGTTTTTTGTACACATTTTTTTAAAAAAATTTAAAAAGTCAAAAAATCTGTTTGGAAATAAATAAATGTCAAATATACCATGTAAATGATAGGTCAACATTATTTTTTTATTTGTATGATTAACAAATTACTGATAAAAATGGACAAAGTGTTAAATAAATTAAAATCTTAAATAAGCTTAGGGGATGGTTGGCAAGAGTTTTTTTTAACAATTTTTTTTTTATAATTAAAATAGTCAATAAAAATAAAAATATATTAAAATAGTCAATAAGATAAAATGTCACATTTTACACATCAATCAATCAATCAATCACTTTTTCTTTTACAACTATCTATTCAACTATAAAAAAAAAAAAAAAATTACAAATCATTCCAATCACAACTTCTTTTCATGGAGGAAAAAAGTCAAAAAGTCAACTAAAATAAGTTTCCAAAGAAGGCTTTAGTATAATTATATCAAACTTGTGACTCAATATATTTTGTACCAAAAAAAGCTATGGTATATATGTGTTGTGGAGATTGAATTGATAAAGTGTGAGATCCATATATGAAATGAATCTGAACCATTAATATGAATTTGTAACAATACTTATATCTGAACCGTAGCATTACTAATTTTGTAATTTACGGGACAACTTGAGAAATAATAATGCCTTTTAATTTTAATTTGAATGTATTAATCACTTTTGTTCTCTTAGAATTTTTTAAAAAGCAAGATTATTATGTGACAGGGAGAATGTATTTGTCTTACATGTTAAAAGTGAAACCGTTACATTGGTTCATCTAAGAGCTTAAATAGTTTAAATTAAATACCATTTAAAATGAATTGATTAATTTTTAATACACAGGTTCATCTGTTCATGTATGGACTACTATTCGGGCTGGCAGACTCATGGGCTTTAATGCCGGACAACAAGATGGTGGGAAAGGCAATCAAGGACCCAGAGAAACTAAAGATCATAGCAGGAAACCCTAGGCGATATACTGGGAAGCCGAGGGTTGGGACGATGAGGGAAATAGCCAGGGTGTGCGAGTACATACAGAGCAACTTCCACAAGGTGACAACTCCGTTCCTAACAGTGCACGGGACAGCTGACGGCGTAACGTGCCCGACAAGCTCCCAATTGTTGTATGAGAAGGCGGCGAGTGAAGACAAGACATTGAAGATGTATGAGGGAATGTACCACTCCTTGATACAAGGGGAGCCAGATGAGAATGCTAACATTGTGTTGGGGGATATGAGGGAGTGGATTGATGAGAGAGTGGAGAGGTATGGGTCCAAAATGTAATAATGGTAAAATATATAATAGATATGGTAATTAAGAGGATAAGATGGGTTGTTTGGTTCTGAATGAAGAATTTGGGTCAGATTTTGATGTCAATGTACTTTGTGTCAGATTCTGGTCAGTCTGGTATATTGGGGAAGATGAGCCCATGAATTGGTAACGATGACTGTTGTGTTGTGAAGTGTTAATTGATACGTGATTCTTCATTTGTAATAAGTTGGTAACTATAAGGGATCACTTTCCCACTTTTAATTTCTGTTTATTTATTTGTGTTATGCTATAAATTGCTCATTTGACTTCCCATTAATAATGTCAAAGTAAATAAAATTTTAAATTTATTTTTCATATAATTTTTATACATTTTTACATATTTTTGTATAAGGAATATTACACGGAAAATTACCTAAATCACGCCTAACCTCACTAGTATGAAAAAATAACACCGACTAGTCGCTGACATTTGAGTCGTATTTAATTAAACTCATCTTTGTTAGGTGTTTGTTAAAAAATTAGACAAATTATATAATGCAAGCAATTTTTGCATTAAATTTCTTATTTTGTCCCTAATGTATTGGATAAAAAAGAATGAGTTAACTCGGTAAAATGTGACCTTTACATTTCCCTTATCTCCTTTCCCTTTATGTGTGTTTGATTGAGGGATTTAAGAAAAAATTTGAAAAGGTAAATGAAAAGGTAGGTGAAATATAAATAAAATATATCTACATTTTACCTAATTTCACACAAATTTTTCTTTTTTCGTTTCCAAATCTTTCTAAATCCCCTAACCAAACACAACGTTAATCCTAAGTTATTTCCCTCTCTTAGACTTCTCTTCCCTAATCCCTGCCCCTCTCACCACCTTTTCTCCTATGCCGTTATTGTTGCCCTTCCCCTTACGTTGTCGCCACATCCTCCACTGCCCTTCCTTTGTGCAGTTGCCGATGCCCCTCAAAAGATGTGACATTTCCATGGGAGGTCGGGATTGGAGATGAAAAGTCTATTTTATCCTCAATTTACAAAAATAACAATGCTCCCTGTTATGTAATGAGAACTTTTATATAATTTCATAAACTTAATCCCAACCAACTAATACTTTCACAATATATAAATAATAACACTCCAACTTTATATCACCAAACTAATAATCGTATTACTCACTGTACTCATAATTATAGTCAACCTAATCCCAAAAAAAAAAACCATGGCCAGCTGGCCATGGTGCTTGAGCTGACATGATAATCCCAACAATGACTCCAAACAGTCCAAGTGCATTGCTAAAAATCTCAATCACAAGGATCTTAAGTGAAGAGTTTTGTGCATCCTATAATGCACAGCTGTTTCCAATTATTTCTTTCTACACATTGACTGTTTCCAAAAAACAGGGGAAAGTAAGAGAAATGAAATCAAAGGGCAATTTATTAGCACTAATAATTCAAGCTCATTCTGATAGAAGAATGTGAATGAAGAATGTGATGTTTTGAGAAGTTGATAAAAAATTGACTTTTTAACTTTTTTTTGGTGGCTTTTTTAGTAAAAAACTAGATTATTTTGGATAAAAAAAACTGACTTTTTTAACTACTAAAAAAGCTAACAAATCAAAAAATTGACTTTTTACCATGGTCCCAAAATGGCCCTCACCCACATACAAGGTTTGCAAAGCCCATGATTTGGTAAGGCAAAGATTGGCATATCCAGCTCTAACGGCCTGTCATGTCATAAATCTTTGATGCAGGAACACTCTCAAGCTCTGTTTGATGTATGATGTCCACGACAACTGCATTATATAGCAACAGCCTCACAGAAAATAACACTTAAAAATAGAAACGTTCAGAAGTTAGAACCCACAGCTCTAATTGTACAGCAGGCTCCAACTCTTATTTGTAATAAAAAATAATAATTACGCTTTGTTTATTTTGGTAGAAAATATTTTTTATGGATTTTTTTTTGAAAAAATATTTTTTTATGTTTTGTAGTGGTGGTGGTGGCACGAAGGTAGACGTGGCGGGCAAGGATAGATCTAGGGGGTTGCGGATGGGGGTGACGGCAGTCCAAAAAATTCAAAAAATATCATATATTATACTAAAAAACTTTAAATAATTAAAAATTATAAGAATTTGCACTTCCAAATATACTTTCGTATTTCTATAGTGATAATCCTAGATCCATCCCTGGTGATGGGGTGACGGTAGCAGTGACGGCATTGGTGATGGTGGCGGTGACCGGTGGTGATGATGGTGTGGTGATATTAATAAAATTTTAGTTCAAAAAACATTTTTTGCCTTTTGAAAGGTAGAAAACATTTTCTGCCTAAATAGACTTATTTTTCATTGATCATGAAAAATATTTTCTGTTGACCTTCGTTTTTCATTGTACCAAATATTAGAAAATAGGGAACACATTTTTCAAAAAATATTTTCCGCTCAAGCAAACAAAGCGTAACTCTCCAAGATCTTTGACCTCCTCTGTTTTGTTTGTTTGTTTTGTTTGTTTTGTTTTGTTTTTGCTTTTTTTTTCTCTCTAAATAACAAAGATCTTTAACCTCCTGGGACATGACATATTAACAAATTAAAGCAGACAGAGGTATCCAATGCTTCAAATCACTCACAAGAATCAAACATTGATATATCCTTTTATTAATAAAAGGAAGAGGAAGAGGAAGCTGCAGCAATAAGATGAATTACAAAATGCTTCACAGTCCAGATAGTATAACATCAATTTATAGTTTATGTGATCCTATTGAATAATATGCAAAGTTTATAATTGTACAAGATAAATCAGATTACAAACACAAAATGAGGAAAATTCAACTTCATTCAAGATCTTGCAAGAATTTGGAATGACTTAGACCCATAATCTGCATGGATTGAGGGCTTTTTTGTGATATACGTGTGAGCACTAGTGCTAGACAAACACAACATGACTTGAGGACTTTTTTGTGATATGTGGAGAAGAAGGATTTATGTAACTGATCCTATTTGATAGGACTAAAAGCTTAGTTTGGTTTGGTGCCTGAAAAAACTGGAACGAAAAAACTCATATTGGAGACCTTAGGCAAGAATATACTTTTACACACAAGTTTATTAGAAACTATGAAATTCAACCATGTAGTTCTATCACAAGAATCTGAGGGCTTGATGAATTTGACATCCTGCATCTGCCTGGGTGCATAGTTTCTGCATGCACCCGTGTTCTGATCAGCCAATGAGGAATCATTGAGAGACTCTTTGAACAAATTGCTAAAAAAAACAACGAAGTCTTTCCGACATAGTTATAGTATTTGATTTTGAAGCCTCTAAAGATAAAAGTCAATAAATTAAGTCTTAGGAATCGCAGGAAAGTGAAAATACAGTTTTCTAACTAAGAACGGTGAAATTTTTATTTTCCCAAGCTTGACGTAAGATAAAGTTTCTTAACATCAACCACTACCCCAAACACGGAAAAGAAAATCCAAGCAACAAAAAACTTAATTCAAAGAGTAACGATATACAAACAGAAAATTCATACATAATGACGTGACTCAATAAGGACTTTTTATTTTAAAACAAAACATCCATGCAGATAACTTATATTTACGAAATTGACATTGTCACAACATTCTTGTGATTTTTTTGTATGACTTTGATGTAGAGTTTTCCTAATCCAAATATGTGGCAATGACAAAACCAAGATGGTCCTTCCAAGTCCAAGGGTCTGTTGCTGATTTAGGATTTGATGGATGACTTTTATCAGTTGAACAAGGGTCATTGGGTAAAGATTGGTGGATGGTTGTAATTACACTCCACTTGGGAACTGATGTTATTCCTATGGTGTCTGTAGCTTAAGAGAGGCGTGTAATTGGCACCAGTGATGATCCTGGTTGAGGGATCAGATATTTCTCATCTTGTGGTCTAGGTTATAGCACTTTGAATTCAAATTGTAGTTGACAATTCTTTGATGTTAGGTTAGGAAGTTAAAATGCAAACCAAAACCTGAAATTTCACTATTACTTGTCCAAAAGGACAGTATAATGCTCTGTGCACATAAAAAAATATCACAGAAATGTTTACAGAAAAATCAATTTGTGGCACAGATTCATTGTTGAGTGTGGTAACACACTAAATTTTCTCTGCACATTTCCTTGCTTTGGAACACATTAATTTTTCTCTGCACATTTCCTTGCTTTTTCGTGCACGTAACATTATTGCTAAGACGAAGCCAAAAAAAAAAACGTAAACTTTATTTTGCTTCAAACTTGCCATGTGAAGCCAAGTGCACTCTCTACGAAGGGAAATTCGAAGTGAATACAACTTTGAGAAAGCACTCCATCCGAACTGATACCTGAGCATATTCTATCACATTATTGATTTTAAATTGCCGCAGTTACGATCATATCTTATGGATCGAATTTATTTATCAAAAAGTTTTATTTCAACGTTTAATGACAAATTTATCGCTGTAAATTTTTTTTAAAAAAATGCAATTCAACTACTAACAGATATCATTTCTTTTTTGTTACACACTTCCCATACAATTATGGATGTACTTCCTTCTCCGGCAACCGCGGCAGTGAAGTTGGGCAGCAGCGATGGGAACGATATCGACGGGGACAGCGGATTTTCAAGCAGATTTGGCTTTCCAGACTACATCTTTGAGCAGATTAGTGATTTTCTCGGGATCATAGTTGTTTTTTTTGGCAGATTTGTTTTTTATTATTTGTTTTGTTGTTTAGTTAGAATGGCCCATTGAGGTCTTGTTAATGTACTGTTGTTATTTTTTTAATATAATATTTCCTATGTTCTTAAAAAAAAAAAAGGGGGGCATATAAGTAAAAAATAATTCATTCAAGCCTACAGGTTGGCTTGGTGGTCGGGGATTGGGGCCGGGTGTGCTTAGTAAACCTATTAGGTGCAAACAAATTATTGAGGCCCAATTCATATGGGTTCTGCCCTGACTTCAATTGAGTCCCTTTAGTGGACAATAGGATTGATCCTCAATTAGTCAGTCTAGTGTGTCGGATACGGAGTTATCAAAATCTACGGGTAATTAGTCATTCTAAAAATTTTCCAGCAAGTAATATATATAAATATACCAACTGGGAATACAAATCACAATAGTTACCTTCCCTAATGAGATTTGTAGAAGTAATGCAAATCAAACTGCTTCGAGTTAAGAAAAATTTCCCTGCAAAAGTTTGTAACACCACTCAAATTTCGAAGAATCAAAATTAATGACGACTGAGATTGGAAACCCTAGAAATGTAAATGCTTGAAACTAATAACAGTAAGGGAAGATGATGTCAAGCAGTGCCCAAGAAAGAAATAA